TACACGTGCTAAACCTTATGACTAATATGACATTTGTAGCAAACGTATCAATTTCATATATTTAGTCTAACTTTAGAAGAAACACGATTACTTCTCACAAATCGCACTACACTTTGGCCTCAAAAGAATTATGGATTTGAAAGCTTTTGGCGATAATCTTATTTAATATATTATGATTTTTTAATTCATATCTATGGTCATTAAATTCTATGCGAATTTTTAAAGAAATACACCTTAATGATCTTGAGTTTCGTTCTCATTTTTATTGTAATTTGGCCTTAAAAAGTTCAAAATCGGCACAACGACCTCTAATGAATCATGTATTTTGGCCAAAAAGTTTTCTCATCCTCAAGATGCGAATGGTATGGTCATTCTAAACGTTTAATTAATTACCGCTTTTAAGCAGCTGAGGAGCTTTTAAATGACTTATGCCCTTATTAATTACTGCTATTTCGAACGTTTTATATCATGTTTTGATGGCCTCTGTTGATATTTTCCCGTCAGAACGTTCATTTTCAATGTCTACACGTAATTTTCCTCAGGGCCTGATCTTAACTTGAGAATCCATCTTAGCTTGTTTCGTTTATTTAGAACCAAATGGCAGGGCTGTTTAATTTGCATTAAAGGCTCCACTTTCATTTTTTTGTAATTCCATGCTAAGGAGGTTCGTAGGCAATTATAATCCGATGACGCCGGAATCTCCTTAGCCTTCTATTGTTTTACCATACTGGGACATTAAGGCTTGCCTTGTCCTTGAGACACCATTTAGTTCCTGTGGAAATATGCAAAATTCTCCCATACTAACTTAGAGTTGGCAGTAGTGCCAAATTAAAAGTTGTATAGCGGTCTGAGAAATAGTAAATTAATTTGGTTTATCGCCTTTCTTCTAGACTTTCGACACAGCTCTACCTTTCCTCGAAAAACCTTCACCATTGGCTCGCAAGGAATCCGAACTCCCACCTGATGAGGTCGATCTTCCCGACTGTGGCTCAGAGACTGAGCTTGCTAGCGCTCCAGCCCTCGGTTTCTGCCGCCCAGTTTTGCCTTCTGGATTCGTATTTGATCCTAGCTTCCATCATCACCTAACTCAGCATGCTGGGACGACACAGCAGCTGTGTGGTTCTCTTCGTTCACCGATGCATTCACCTTTACATTCCCCTTTGCATGCGCTCCAGCCTTCTGCACAAACTTTGGCACATTTGCAGAATAATGTTCGCCTGCATGTACAAACACATTCGAATCCTGAATCCGAGGCGGATTCCCGGGCCCTTGCTCAGGGACAGTTGCACTCACCTACTCTAGGGCAAGCAGGCGCCCAAACAACTCTTCCCCTGAATCACTCTGCAATGCAGACGTCTTCACATTGCCTTCCTCACTTTATGCATTCTGGTCCACCACTACCACTGCCGCAGCCTGGATTGGCATCATCCTGTATGCCCGCAGAGCTACGTGCCCTAGCATCGAGATTCAGAGGTCCCTTGCCTCCTACTCTAATGATGATGATGATGCCGCCACCTGCGGCAGCAGTAGTGGCTGCTGCGGCTGCTGCTGGGAGACAGCCACCTTCTGCTACAGGACTATCGACTCCACTAACCTTTTTAACCGGCCTACATGGTAGTCCTCCAACACACTTACCTGTAACTTCACTGCCGCCTGTTCGACTTTCTCATACAGATATGACCACCAACTCTTCAGGTACTTTATAGTTAACAATATCAGATTAATTATTCTTCAGCATTTTTGCTTAACTAGAATTCATATACTCATAATTACCCTCCATTTTGCTCTTATTTTCTATCATATAAAACTTTTTTTATATTTATCCGACTCACTTTTATGGAGGTTTTGAAGTGTTTAATTATGACTGCCCGTATTTAATTTATCGGATTCTGTAAAATCTGCGCTTCCTTACGTTCTTATTATTAGATAATCCTAATTAACTTGCTCAAGAAATTAGCATTCTTATTCTACCTTGCTTCAATAAGGTATGCATTATGTTGATTCTGTAAGTTAACATATTTTGCAGAATTCTGCTTAGCCTTCTGTTCATGCCATTAAAATGTACTCGTGCACCAGAATTTGGGTGGCCTAATCTTTATAGTAGTCTGAGCTCTTTCGCAACTGGTTCGTGTTGTCAAGGTGACCTAGTTGGATGCATCTTGCCCGAAGTCCTTTACTATAGAATTTCCAGGATTGGAGCATGGACTTGATACATTCCCAGACATTTCGCCGGCACCATCAGTGAGTCTTAATATTCTTAGCATTACGCTAGAACTCGTCAAAGAGATAAGTGAAGTCAATTCCTTGATCATATTTCAGCAAGGATGTCAGTTGTCCCTCTTATCTTCTGATTTCTTGTTTTGTTTTATTGTACAAGGCCTTTGTTTCTATTGCCTTCGAGTTCATCTTTTGCTCAATCTTCGCAATATGTTCCGCTATTACTGACTTCTCACTATCCATTTTGATAAGAACATTTGAAGTTACTTGATTTGTATGTTGATTTTTATTCTCGCTTCGCCAATGAATGTCTGTTTGCATATTCAGCATGTTAATTGATAAACTCCCGAGCATTCCAATTTATCTGCCATCTTATTGCATGTGGAAAGTTGTGAAGAGCTGTTCTTCTTCTTTATGGCCGTCTGAATATTACATTTTCCTAATATTGGCCATAATTTTTGAGTCAATTTACAAGAAGGTACGAAGATTAATTGGATTTCGATTAATCTTCTGAGATAACTTTATTGTTGGGACTTTCATTTCGTATGAAAATGTATGAAGATTAGATTCTAAGGTCGATCTCACCGGAAAACGATGGCTGATTCCCGTTATACTGCAGCCGTTTGGCTTTAATACGACGTTCAGGTTGACACAGTCTGCGAGACATTCTCCCTCGTTTCGTGTAAAAACGGGCTGAGCCTTCGTCCATTGTATGATGGACATCATAAGAAATGGAACTCGTTCTTGTAAAAATTTCACGCTAACACAGTCATGAAGACTATCTGGCTCTATCTTACCTCTTATAAATATACTCATCATCAGAAGACGAGAGTGAATAGGCATATGTAGTTATATGATGGTTTAGCTGATTATCTTTCATACTGGTCCTGCTACTTTCGCTTGGGTTTGTGTGCGTTAGCGTCTATACGCAATTCCGGTCCTGAATCAATGTGCCCAAAAAGGCTAACGCCAGGCTTTAGTCACCAAGGTTCAAGAAAAAGCCATGATCGGTACAGTGTAAGTTAGTATGCAACTATAGTTAGGATAATGTGATGTAAGCTTGTAAGCGTGTAAGTCAAGTTTCGAAGTCACTTGTCCTAGCCTCTCAGTCTAGGGTCATTAAGGCTTAACCACTCAAGGAAAGGCATGATTGAGACAAGCCTCTTTGACGAGTTCGTATCTTGGTGCGGAGAATGGCAAGTCTCACTGATGATGCCGACTACGATGCCGG